TGCCTATAGAAAATTAATGAGGGGTCTTCAGTGTATATGAGACCCACTAAAATGTCTTCGAAATTTAGAAGAGCATATTGAATGTCTTCTATCATTGTGTTTATAAGACCCCTCAATGTGCCCTCTTGAGGGTGGAATTTTTTTGGAACAATTTTCATTGTTTCCGAATAAATTTCGAAATTTCTTTGTTTTGTCGACAACAACAACATCCAAAATGAATTATCTGTGAAATCAAATCAATTTTCCTATTTTTGTTCTTCACGGTAATGAGGTGGAAAATTATTATAATGAGGCTATTGATCTCACCACCCTGGTAGGATCTTTTGTGTTTAAAAGACCCCTCAAAGTGCCTTCCGTCTATAGAATACCCCATGAGAGATCTTCTGTCCACAGAACACCCCTTTTTCTTCTTTGAAACTCATTTTCCAAATTTATTTCAAATTTTCTTTGTTTTCTCGATAACAATAACAACAACATCCACAATAAATTATCTACGAAATCAAATCAATTTAGTTCGTTTTTTTTTCAAAAAAATTAGGTGGAAAATTATTCTAATGAGGTTATTGACTTCTCCGTAAAAAATCTATTAATTTCCAGAATTTTGTCACTCTACCCTCTTCACCACCCTCTTCAAATACCTTTTATTTCTATTCCTAAAAAGATTTTAATATTTTACGAAATGAAAAATGAAAATTATGACAAAGAGGTATTTGACCTCTGTAAAGAAAATTTGTCCACTCAACTGAGAGTAAAAGTAAAATTTTCTCTCAGTGTAACTGAGAGGACTTTGATTTGGATTTTTTGGCCACTGCTGGCTGACTGGCTAGCTAGGTGACTGGCAGACTTGTTGGCTTGCTGGCTGGAATGATTTATGCAATGGTCACACAAAGAGACTTTGATTCGCCAAAAAAATAACAAAAAAAAAACAACAACATTTGTTGTTATAATGGATTTGTACCACATGGGGTAGAATACAATATAGATGTGGTAGACAGTGGAACAAGAATATAATGAAGAACCAATATCGTATTTTTAGAATAAGTCTTTGGGATCTGTTCATTATTTAAGATCAAAATTTGAAGTCGAATAGAATATGGAACCAGTCTATTGTAAATCATTATTGAACAGGTCTATTGTAAATATCAAACTCTTACGATCGCTAAAACACAACCATGCATTTAAAATATAATTAAGAACAACGGATGATATAATAAAATAAGACGCTATTCACTATACGGTGGTATAACAAAAAATATATTTTTTTTAAATCGCAACTATTTTTTTATAATTGGGTTCCACGGTTTATTTGTTGAACACCCCCACACTCACACTCATATAAGTGCTTCTTCTTCATTTCTATACAAGTAAATCAAACCAAAAAACCAAAACAAAATAATAAAATAAAAAAATTAAAACACACAATACATTTCAGAATACACAAGTTGCCTGTTGTTGCTGTTTTTGTTGTTGTTTTTATTTTTTGTTGTTTGCTGCACGACTTTTAAGTCAAAATGTTGAAACAGTTGAAATTAGTATTAGACAAATAAAGCTGTTAAGCGGTTTAACTTTTCACAAGAATCCAAAAAAAAAAAAATAGAAAACGCCAAATACAAGGATATTTAAATAAAAAAAAAAATTAAAGAATATTTTTTTGGAAAGGAAAAATATTTGAAGATGAAAAATATTAAAAATGAAGATGAAGATAAAAAAATAAAAATATAAAATAAAAATAATTTTTATTAATTTAGAATAAAACAAAAGAAAAATCGATTACTATTAAATATAATTTAAAATAAAAAACAATTCATTTGAAAAAAATATATAAAAATGTGACAGAAAAATTAACTAAATTATTTAAAAAATTCGAGTTTAAAAAATAATCCAACAATAAATATAAAAAATAACTTTTTAATATACATACAATAATAAATGGAAAAATTTAAAAATAAAAACCAAAAACAAACTGCTGTTTAAACCCCAAAACTTTATTTGTAATAATTAAAAATATTAGAAAAAGATCGCAGATCAACAAATTAAAAAATATATATAAAACAAAAATTATTTAATAATTTTTTTTATAATAAAAACATTTGATTTCTATATAAACACTTAAAAAGGAAATATTTCCAAGAAAAATATTGTGGATGGATTAAATTAATAAATAGTACATACTAAACAGAAAAAAGACAACATATCTTAAAAGGACATTTTAAAAATTACAAAAAAAAATACAACAGCAACAAAATATTCTGTTAACAAATATATATATATATATATATATACATACAAAAAGATAACATTTCAGGATATAAGGAAATATTTAACAAACAATTTTATAAAATAAAAATATTAAAAAAAAAAATTTAAAAAAATATATAAAAATTAAAAAAAAAAAAAAAAACCCAAAAACTTTAATAAAGACTTATAAAAACAAATATCATTATTAAATAATAAAACAAACATTCATAAAATAGAAATTAAACATTAAATTCGAGAAAAATATATGTAAAAAGTTTAATAGGAAAATATTTGTTTTTTTATAGAAATGTTAAAAAAGTGAACAAAGAAATTTTAATAAAAATTAAAAATAAAAATGTGATAAACATAAATTTCCAAAAAAAAAAAAAAATTAAAATGTTTTTATAAAACGAAACATTTATTAAAAACATAAAATTTTCACAAAAAAAATCAAAGTCAAATATTTAATTTTGGAAATAAAACGATACAAGCAATATAAACATATATAAACTAATGTGTTAAAAAACATAATTTTAAAACAAAAAATTAAAATAAAAAAAGTATTTATCCAAATTTAAGAAAAAACTAACTTTAATATATATTTTTAAAAATATAAAAGAAAACAAGGAAATAAAGAACAAATAACTTAAAAAAAACAAATTTTAATTAAATTGAAATATATATAAAAAAAATTAAAATAAATATATATATATATATATATATATTTTTTTAAAGTAAACCAATTATTTTTAAACACAAAAAAATCAAAACAATATTTTCAAATATAAAATTATAAACATTCATATATTATACATATTAAAATAAAAAATAAATAAAAATAATTAAAAAAATCATATTATAAAAAATTAAAAGGTCCAAAACAAATAAAAAAATATTTATCCATTTAAAAAATTTTTTCACAAAAAAAAAAAATTTAATAAAAAAAAAATGAAAATATTAAAAATATATTAAAGAAAACAAGGAAATAAAGAACAAATTTTTTGATATAATTAATATATATATATATATTAAAAAAAAAATTTTAATTAAATTGAAATATAAAAAATTAATTTTTTTAAAGTAAATCAATTATTTTTAAACACAAAACAAATCAAAACAACATTTTTAAATATAAAAAATATAAAATTGTAAACATTTAAATAATAAATACATTAAAATATTATTATTAATATATATTAAAAGAATATATATATATATATATATATATATAATAAAAAATAATTAAAAAAATATTAAAGGCAATTAAAAAATTAATAAAATACACTATTTTCTAAAGTTATATTAAATTAAAAACGACAATAAAATACAAAACTTTTAAAAAAATTTTTAATCTTCTAATAAAAATAGTAAAATATTAAATATTAAAATATATAAAAATTTTCATATTTTTTTATATTAAAAGGGTAAAAAATTTGATATTTAATAAAATAAATATAATGTATATATTATTTTTAATTTCAATATAAAAAATTTTCAAATTAATGTTTTTTTTTAAATTTCAAAATAAAAATAATTTATTATATATTTCAAAAACAAATCATTAACAAATAAAGCTTTACAATAATTTAATAGTCTATAAAATTTTAAAATTATATATTTTTTAATAATTTCAAAAGAAATGAGAAAAAATATTTAATTCTATATATAATTTGTTCATTGAAAAAATAAGAAATATTAATAAAATTTTAAAATATTTTATGATAATATACAAATAATAAAAAAAATTCAAATTAATATTTTTAAACAATAAAAAAAACTATATATTAAATAAAATTTATCAAAATTATAAAATTGGTCTAAATAATTTAATGAAAAAAAATAAATTGAAAAAATTATAAAATTATCTAAACATAAAACAAACATTAAAATAATAACAAAATCGAAAATTTAAAAAATAAATATTAGGAAATTTATATACAATATATTTATTTTTTTAAATATAATTTAATTTATATTAAAAAAAAAAAAAAGAAAAATACATTTTATTATATATTTATGTAATTTAAAAAAATAGTATATAATTAAAAAAAAACAAATTAATTAAATGAATTATCAATAAGATTATATACATACAAATTTAATTATACAAATCATATTTTTTGTTGGAAAAGTAAATTTATAAATAAAATTAATAATTAAAAAAGTTATTTTAATTAATTATATTAAAATTAAAAACAAAAACATATATACAAAAAAACTTTTTTTTATTATTTAATTTTATTAATTAAATATTTAAAGAAAATATTAAATATTTTAAGTAAATGAAAAACAATTTATAAAGTAATTAATTTAATTAAAATTGATTATTGTTAAGTTAAATATAAATAAAAATATATTATATTTAAAATAATAAAAAATAATATATTTTATTTAATATATAAATATAATATTATAAATTTAAAGAATTTTATTCAGATTAGAAGAATTTTTAAAAATTATTCCCCATAATTTAATAAATTTAAATTAATATCGAAATTCCTCGAAAGTAATATAAAAACAATCTATTTAATAATTAAGAAACAAATTCAAAACAATTTGTTGTATTTCAATTATTGTGATTAGCAAGCACTTCTCAAGCACTCCATCGTAAATCATTCAAACTAATCAACGATATTTATTACCTTCCCAACGAGATAAGCTTTGAAAGTACCAAACACTTGAGAAAAAATATTTTCGAAGTCCAGCAGTCATCATCAGTTTACCGGTACCGCTCGCAAAGTAAACCACGACGATCACGGCGTTCATCATGTCGCTCAAAGGCAAATTGTTGCCAATGAAATTATTGCTGCTATCATGGGGTACCCTGAGCATTATGGCCACCCTGCCAACGGCCACCAAATGTGATACCTCGTATTACGAAAAATATTATTCAGCCCGACGATTTTTACCCCTAAAGAAACCCTCCCTGGTGGAGGTCCACTTCCAACTGCAACTGCAGGATGAAAAATTACAGGAATTTGAAAAAATGGCCGTTGTGGGTGATATTGACCAGCTCGGCTCATGGAAGGCCAGCAAGGCAGTGGTGATGAATAAAACTTTGGATTTTGGTAAATGGGAAGCGGTGCTGCAGATTCCTGTCAATACCTCTTTCAATTATCGTTATTTTGTGGCGGCTCAGGATAAGAATACGGGCGATTTGCAAATTCGTCGTTGGGAATCGGCATTAAATGCCAGGCCACTGAGTGTTACCACCACGGCGGTAAATCAAACGGATAATTTTGGTTATATTGGTGCGGGGGCCTCGAAGGAGTTACAACGTGGTTGGTTGAATTCCGGCCATATTGTGCAATTTAAATTGTTCCGTAACCCTCTGCTCCTCAATGAATCCCTGGCCGGAGAGGATCAACAATTGAGAATTAAATTAACTCCCGTGGATCCTGAATGGCGCACCGCCATTTCACCCTCCGCTCGAGCCTACACAGAATATGTACGCATGGAATATGGTAATAGCTTCTTGAGAAGCCAACCCGAACATGGTGTCCAGTATAAGGAGGATGGTATCATAATGTTCCACAGCACTGTGGCGGATTTGTCGAAAGTCGGATATCTTTTCCAAATCTTTGTGGAGGATATTGAAAATGATTTGTATCGCCTGGTGGGTTATCAATATTTGGAACCAAAACTACTGGAAAATACCGATGGTGCCATTGAGCTGAATTTGGTATCTCCAACCTGGATGAATGCCATCGGCACGTTGAAGTTGCAATATGTCATTGTAAATCCCTCTCCGAATTCCAGTGTAGATTTCCGTACCTCCTTTGTGGAATATTGGCGGGATAATTGGACTCATCTTGAGGCAGGACATCGGGGTTTGGGAAAATCCTTGAAGGAAACCACAAATGCTGCTCCTCTCATTGAAAACACAGTGGCCACCATGATTGCCACCGGTGATTTGGGCGCGGATTTGGTAGAATTTGATGTCCAGTTGACCAAGGATCTCGTGCCGATTATCTATCACGACTTCTCGGTCTATGTATGCATTGAATCCAAAACCCCCACCAGCAAAGATGACCTTACCGAAGTTCTCATCAAGGATGTCACCTATGAACAGTTGAAGGACTTAACCACCTATCAGGTGATTGGATCGAAAATCATTGAATACCCCTCCCACAACTCGGTAAAGGATGAAAATCAACGTCTCTTCCCCACGTTCGAAGATTTCCTAACGAAAATCAATAAATCCGTAGGTTTCGATATTGAAATCAAATGGCCTCAGCTGAAAAGTAATGGCGTGTGGGAGAGTATCCAAACCATTGATAAGAATATCTATATCGATCGTATCCTCGATGTGATGATGCAACATGGTTGTGGTCGTTTCTCCTTCTTTACCTCATTCGATGCGGATATCTGTACCATGTTACGTTACAAACAAAATATGTACCCGGTAATGTTCCTCTCCTCCAGCAAGGAAGCCAATTTTGTTGATCCCCGTTCGGATACCATTTATGATTCCGTGAATAATGCCCAAGCCTTTGAATTGGCTGGTATTGTACCCAATGCTGTTTTCATCAAAACTAATCCCGCCTGGATCGATGTGGCCAAGGCCCAACAAAAGAAAGTCTTCCTATGGGGTGGTGACCTGAAGGATCGTGAATCGATTGATTGGTTTTTGTCACAAAATCCCACAGGGGTTATTTATGATCGTATGGATCTCTATTTGACTCCCAATCGTACAAGTGCCTTTGAAAAGGAGGAAGATCTGCCGGAGTTCTTTGAGCTGCAGTGTTCCACAGCTGCGGGGCAAGGTAGTGGTGAAAATGCCACCATAACACAAATTTTAAGTAATGTTAATATGTTGTAAACTTTGTAGTCAATCATGTGAAATATGAAATATATTTTTAATAAAATGATAAGCAAAAAATCAAAGGTTCTTCGAAGAGTTACGGATTTTTGTTGGGAGGAGACTAATGGTGGAATTTTGTGGAGAATATTTTTTACTTCAACGAAGTTCCGCTAAAACGAAGTTAAATGACCAAATTTGGCCTTTTCTGGTATATAGTACTAAAATCGACCAAAAAATATTTTTACCATTGGTACCCTATTTTTGGACCCCAAAAGTAGGGGTTTTTGTAGAGTTACGGATTTTTGTTGAGAGGCGACCCATAGTGAAATTTTGTGGAGAATATTTTTTACTTTGACGAAGTTCCGCTAAAATGAAGTTAAATCAGGAATTTTGACCTTTTCTGGGATATAGTACTAAAATCGACCAAAAAATATTTTTTCAAATTGGTACCCTATTTTTGGACCCCAAAAGTAAGGGTTTTTGTAGAGTAACAGATTTTTGTTGTGTGGAGACTTATAGTGACATTTTGTGGAGAATATTTTTTACATTGACGAAATTCCGCTAAAACGAAGTTGAAGTGGTTATTTTGGCATTTTTTTGGAGAAGGCACCAAAAATCGACCAAAAAATATGTTTTCATACTTTGAATATTTTGTTAACCCCAAAAGTAAGGTTTTTTGGAGACTTACAAATTTCAGTTATGTGTAGACTAATAGTGAAATTTTGTGGAGAATATTTCTTTCTTTGGCATCAGTCCGCTAAAACGATGTTAAAGGTTGAAAATTGGCATATTATGAAAATTAACCAAAAATCGTTGAAAAAAACTCTTTTCGGAGAGAATATTTTTTGGACCCCAAATGTAAGGTTTTTTGGAGAGTTACAAATGTACTTTGTGTGGAGACTTATTGTGGAATATTGTGAAGAATATTTTACTCTTTGAAAAAATTCCGCTAGAACGAAGTTAAAGGGATGTTTTGGTATTCTCTAGGAAAAAGTACAATAATCGACTAAAAACATTTCTCAAAGCAACTATACTTTTGGTTAGACCCCAAAAGTAAGGTTATTTGTAGAGTTATACATTTCTTTTGCGAGGAGACTTATTGTGAAATTGTATGGAGAATATTCCCTACTTTGGCATAATTCCCCTAAAATAAAGTCAAAGGAGGAAATTTGGCCTTTTCTGGAATATAGTACTAAAATCGACCGCACAATTTTATTCGTATTGTAACCATATTTTTTGGACCCCAAAAGTAAGGGTTTTTGTAGAGTTACAGAATTTTTGTTCTGTGGAGACTTATAATGAAATTTTGTGGAAAATATTTTTTACCTTCGCATAATTTCACTAAAACCAACTTTAAGGGGTAAATATGGGCCTTTTTGAGGAAAAGTGCACAAATCGAATATATATTTATATATTTTTCATGAAGACAATATTTTGTGGACCCCACAAATACAAATTTTCGTAGAGTTACATGTTTCCTTTGTTAGGAGACTTATAATGAAATTTTATGAAGAATATTTCTTACTTTGACATAATTCCGCTAAACCCACGTTTAAGCGGAAAATTTGGTATTTTTGGGATAAAATAAAAAATCGACCAAAAACATTGAACAAAGCGACCTTATTTTTTGGGACATAAATAATCACGTTTTCACGCAGAGTTACAGATTTCATTTGCGAGGAGACTTGTAGCGGAATTTTGTGGAGAATATTTCATACTTTAACATAATCCCGCTAGAATGAAGTTAAAGGCCATATTTTGGCATTTTCAAAGACCAAATCATGACCAAAACATGCTTTTCACAGCAACAATATTTTGTGGACCCCTAAAATACAGATATTTGTAGAGTTACAGATTTTTGTTGTGTGGAGACTTACCGTGAAATTTTGTGGAGAATATTTTACACATTCACAACTTTTCGCTAAAATGAAGTTAAAAGTGGAAATTTTGGTTTCTCTGGAAAATAGTACAAAAACCGACCAAAAATATTTTTCAAAGCGAGACCATATTTTTGGTCACAATCAATCATGTTTTCTTGTAGAGTTACACATTTATTTTGTTTGGAGACTTATTGTAGAATTTTGTGTAGAATATTTCATACTTTGACATATTTCCGCTAAAATGAAGTCAAAGTGGGAAATTTGGATTTGGTTGGGATTTACAAAAATCGACCAAAAAAATATTTTTCACATCCAGAATATTTTATGGACCCCAAAAATAATGTTGTTTGTAGAGTTACAAGTTTTTGTTGTGTGGAGATTTATAGTGAAATTTTGTAGAGAATATTTCATACTTTGACATCAGTCCACTAAAATGAATTTTAAGGCGAAATTTTTAAGTTTTTCTGGGATATAGTACAAAAATCTGCATCATCAACAAAATTTTTCCCAGCGACAATAATTTTTTGACGCCCAACGATATTTAATGGCACCAAAGGCCATTAGGTCCACATTAAAGATATAATGTTCTGTAAGAAAACCCCTTTCTATAGCAAACCATAAGGTACAGGCCAATCGTTTGGGGATTCTCTGGGAAAAAAATTCCCGTTTCGTTGAGTAAAATGTGATATATTTTTTAAATTTCCTGTCAAATGGCGCCCAACGTGTGGCCAAATGAAGTGGCACCAACGCAAATTTTCCTTTTCTGCAAAAATGTTCTCACAAATTTTAAACAAATTACCGTTTTGTAGTTAAAATATCAGAAAATTGAAATGGCGCCCAACATGGGGCCAAATAAAATCTCACGAAGTGGCACAAAAGCAAAATTTTAATTTTCCGCTAAATTGTTCTCACACATTTTAAACAAATTACATTTTTTTGTCATTAAAATATCAGAAAATTGAAATGGCGCCCAACATGGGGCCACCTAAAATCTCACGAATTATACATTTTTCATTACCTTCAACCGTAAAACTCAACAAACTACGACATTTTTCGCCATCAACATGTCAGAAAATATAAATGGCGCCCAACGTGTACAATTCAACTGGGGCGAGAAATACCACTTTTCTCATCAAGAAATATAGCGTAGCACAGATTAGAAAAAGTCTGAATTTTTGCCACCATAACATTAGTTAAATAAAATGGCGCCCAACGTGGGTCAAATAACACAAGAAATAAAAAACGGTTCAAAATTTCTTAAGAATTATTTTCCCAAACTGTAGAGGCCCACAAATTATAAAAAAAATCTATACTTTTCACTTCCAAATATCAGTGAAATTAAATGGCGCCCAACGTCAATTCGTGAGTGAGTCAAATTCAAGTGAAAGCAAAAATACAAGTTTTCCTATCCCTAACTTTAAAACACACACACAAATCATAAAACTTTCCCATTTTGTACCACTAGAAAATCACAAAACAACAATGGCGCCCAACGTGGATCAATTCAAATCAGTATCAAAAATATCACCTTTCTTATCCCCACATGTATTGGTATACAGATTATAAAATTTTCAGCATTTCTCGCCACCAAAACATCAGTTAAATTAAATGGCGCCCAACGTGGGTCAAGTCAAATGACACAAAAAATAAAAAAAAAAACGATCCAAATATTCTTAAATTTTTTCCCAATCTGTACAAGCCCACAAATAAAAAAATATACTTTTCGGCAACAAAACAACAATGGCGCCCAACGTGGATCAATTCAAATAGAACCCAAAATATCTCATTTTTTATCCGCAAACTTAACAACTCTTAAATTATTATTTATTTTAGATTTCTTTACACCAAAATATCAGAAAAAAATGGCGCCCAACGTGAACCAACTTATATGGCAACAGAAATAGACTTTTCCATATCCTCAAAACTTTTGGAAACTATCTAACATCTGAAATTATTACAATTATAAATTTCTTATAACCAAAAAATCAGAAAATTAAAATGGCGCCCAACATCGACCAATTTATATGGCACCATAAATACATTTTTCCATAATATCAAACCTATTAGAACCTCTCTAACATCTTGTGTCACTTTCTGAAACATCTGAAATTATTACAATTATACATTTCATATAATCAAAATATCAGAAAAATGGCGCCCAACATGGACAAATTAGTATGGCACCAGAAATAGACTTTTCCATAGCCTCAAACCTATTTGAACCTCTCTAACATCTTATGTCTCTTTCTCTTTATTTTCACCTTACAGCGCCAGCTAATGGAGGCCTATATCCGACAGAAGCGGGCTTCACCGGGCATGGTACAGGCCAGCGATTTACAAATTAACCGTCCGATATCGGCATTACGAACATCAGGTCATAACGCCCGTGAACTACATGCCTACGATGGACCAATGCAATTTATTAGCTCCGCACAAAATCCAGACCAATTAATCAATAATACGAAGGTGGATATAATCAGTTCGCCAACAACAACAACAGCTGTAACAACGACGACGACAATGGTCAATAGTTCCGTAAAATATGCCAATAATTCAAATCATCATCATAGTCGAACACCGAAACGTACAAATCTCAATGTGGATGAGGGTAAGTGACGGAACGAGAAAAGAAAAAAATGGGGAGGTGTTCTAATATTAATTTTTTGTATTCTCCAGATCTCATAGAAGAAATTTCCACGCAAGACCTGGAGGATGAGGAAAGCACACCCATCGTCGTGACAACGGAGTCCAATCAAGGCCACTTACTTAGCAGTTCAACAAATTCCGCCTCTTCCCAACCGGGTAGACAAAGTAGATCACGACAGCAGTCTTTCGATGGCACCCTCGACGAAGAAGATTATGCCAATCGTAATAATATCGCCCTGGCCGCTCCCATTATGCCAGCCAAGTCGCCAACATCCACCACAGCCAATTCACCACATTGCAAAGCGAATGCACCGGCAAATGGCCAACAGCCCGATAATGGTGAACCATGTGAGCCGGAGGGTGATATTATAGGGAATATTGAACAATTTGTAATGCAACCAGCACCGCAGGGAGTGCTGTACAAATGTCGTATTACCCGTGATCGTAAGGGTATGGATAGGGGTCTCTTTCCGATTTATTATCTACATTTGGAGCGGGACTATGGCAAGAAGATTTTCCTTTTGGGTGGCCGTAAACGTAAGAAGAGTAAGACGTCGAATTATATCATCAGCTGTGATCCCACCGATTTATCGCGAAATGCGGAGGGTTATTGCGGAAAATTGCGCTCCAATGTTTTTGGCACATCGTTTACGGTCTATGATAGTGGGAGTAAGGATAATACCGAAAATCCTAGGCTAGATTTGGCCGTGGTAATATATGTAAGTGGATTTCTCTTGTTTGGATTATTATATTTGAAATGGCGCCCAACGTGGAACCAAAGCAAATGACACAAAAAATATTTTATGTCTTATCCCAAACTGTAAAAGGCCACAAAATATAAGAATTCTTAAATTTTGCTATTAAATATGAAGAAAATTGAAATGGCGCCCAACGTGGAACTATTTCAAATGGCACCAAAAAATATTTTTTCCTACACTTTACCGTAAAGGCTTCCAAATTATAAAAATGCTAAAATTTCCCCGCCTAAAACTTCAATGAAATCAATTGGCGCCCAACGTGGGACCAAATATTAGAAATGAAGTACAATGTGGAACATTCGGAAATTAAATGTTTTTTTCTTATCCAAACTGTAAAAGGACAAAAAGTATAAGAATTCTTAATTTTTCACCACTAAATATAAAAAAAATTGGAATGGCGCCCAACGTGGTACTATTTCAAATGGTACCAAAAAAAATAGTTTTCCTACCCTTTACTGTAAAAGCGCACAAATTATAAAAATACGACATTTTCTCCCCTAAAGCCTCAGTGAAATCAATTGGCGCCCAACGTGGGGCCAAATAGAATCGCAGGAAAACACATTTTTCCTATTCCTAATTATTAAGGCCCACAAACTCTACAATTTTGCCACTAAAACATCAGTGAAGTTAATTGGCGCCCAACGTGGAATCAAATCAAATAACCCCAAAACTAAATGTTTTCATATCCCTAACTGTAAAGTTTTCATATCCCCAACTTTAAATTCCCACAAATTATAAAAAATGCTACATTTTTGCTATTTAACTCTCAGTGCAATCAAATGGCGCCCAACGTGGGTCCAAGTCATATTAAGCAAAAAATTCATTTTTTTTCTTTTCCTAAGTGTAAAGACCCACAAATTAAAAAATCGCATAATTTCGCACTAAAACATCAATGAAATGAAATGGCGCCCAACGTGGGGCAAAATCAAAATTTTAGATTATAGCATTTTATTCACTCCCTTTCTCTCCCTACCCAGGACACCAACATTTTAGGCTTCAAAGGACCACGAAATATGACTGTTATACTGCCGGGCATGACGGAAGATGATCAACGTGTCAAAATCAGTTCCGCCGATCCCAAACAACAGGGTATTATGGATTTGTGGAAAAGCAAGGTAGGGTCGAATGACATACAACTTATTACAGATTTCCAATCTAATGATTTTTTCTTTTTATTTCTTGCACCAGCATTTGGACAACATCGTTGAGCTGCACAACAAAACACCCGTCTGGAACGATGAAACCCAATCGTATGTTCTCAATTTTCATGGTCGTGTTACCCAGGCATCGGTGAAAAATTTCCAATTGGTACATGATTCCGATCCCGAGTACATTGTAATGCAATTCGGTCGCACTTCGGAGGATGTTTTTACCATGGACTATCGTTATCCACTGTGTGCCATGCAAGCATTTGCCATTGCCTTGAGCAGTTTTGATGGTAAAATAGCATGCGAGTGAATGGGGGAGGAAAATCGTGTGGACGATGAACAGCAAGAACAAGAAGAAAACCCGAGCTTATATTTTTCGAAGTCTAAACGTCAGAGATCACGAAGATCGTAGAATTTAAGAACATTTTTGTAGATGTGTTTTTTACTTTTTTTACTTTTTCCTTAGTATAAACTGCTGCAGGATGCGAAGTTTATGTTCGAAGTCTGATTGTTGTTTTTAGAGATTTTTTTATTATTTGTTATTGTTATTTCTTTTTGTAAATATTTTGTAAGGCTTCATTCGTATATCGTATAGAATTAATAGCTAGTCTTTAATAGTTCATAAAAAATCGCAAGAGAAATACTGAAGAGGTCCAAGAGAACCTTAGTGGAAATCAGGAAAAGATCTCAGATATTAAGGAAGATAAGAACGTGCCTATGGTTGGAATGTCGTATATAGAACGAAGCTTAGCTGAGATATTCGTCAGATTATTTTCTTTATGCATGCATTTTGTCCTGAACTTGCTTGGAAATACCGTAGATTTCTCAAGTAGCTCCGAAGTCCCATGTTATGAGATCTATGGTGTCCGATGCCTTCAGCAGGCAATTTAAGATCTCAATCTCCAAAGATCTCAAATTGAAGAATGTCTCATTTTTTCATCACCTTCACTTGGTCTTTTCCCATAAAGAAACTACGACGTTCCCTATAGCAGGGTGATTCTTCATCTGCAAATATCTCGAATATCCATTCTGTCTTGAACTCACTAACCCTGCCTGTCTGCTTTCCTCGTCAGCTTCAGTTTGATTTCGTCCCATGGGAGAGACATACAATGCCGATGCAATATTTACCATCAGCCAGTTTCTTACAAAATTGTACCTTCTGATATATACAGGGTCTCGCTTCAGCAGGTGAATAGCCTTCGGAGGATTTTTTGTTCAGGAAATATCATCTTCCTGGACCACTTTTTTGAGGAGAGTCCAGAGCCGATTGACTTCTCTATTGAAAAAGCATCTCATCTCAAGATTTTATGAATACATTCTGTTTTGAACTCACTGTCCCGCCATCTAAGATCAATGCTTTTTGAAGTTGATTTCCTCCCATTGGGAGACAATCCCTTCTCCTAACATTTTTAGGACTTCGATATTCAATGGCGATGCAATATTTGCAATCACTCAGTTTCCGACAAAGTTGTAACTTCTGAATTCTACAGGGTGTCGCTTCAGCAGGTGAATACCCTTCGGAGGAATTTTTCTTCAAGAAATATCATCTTCGAAATCATCTGATCTCAAAATTTCGTGCATATATTCTGTTGTGAACTCACTGTCCCGCCATCTAAGATCAATGCTTTCTGATATTTAGTAATGTCTGCTTTCCTCGTCAGCTTCAGTTTGATTTCCACCCATGGGAAGACAATCTCTCCTGCTAACATCTTTGGAATTCGACATGCGATTGCGATGCAAAATTTACAATCAGTCAGTTTTCTATAAAGTTGTACCTTCTAATTTCTACAGGGTCTCAGTTCAGCAGGAAATATCATCTTCGTTTAACCCTTTTTCGGAAGAGCCATCACCGATGGCCTTCTCTATTGGAAAGTCATCTCATCCCACAATATCGCGCATATATATAATGTTGTGAACTCACTGTCCCGCCATATATGATCAATGTTTTATGAAGTTATGCGACGTCTGATTTCCTCGTCAACTTCAGTTCGATTTCCTGCAATGGGGAGGCAACCCCTTCTATTTAGTTCTTAAGGAATTCTTTATGCGATAGTGAGCCTTAAATCACGCCACTTTTCTCATCAGCATCAGATTGATTTCCTGTCCCCATTCTTTACCAGATTCATTCTGATTTCCTACCACGGGTTGACAATTTTATCAACTTCTTTTTGAAGACTTCGATATACGGAGGAGTTGATATTTTTAATTTCTTCAAATAAAAACAATTTTGACTGTACACAAAACAAAAATAAATTATCACTCTAAGCGGTGGATCACTCGGCTCATGGGTCGATGAAGAAGGCAGCTGTAAGGTACTTTAATTAATTTTAGAGAGCTGCTATTCTCCTCGGATGATATGTTCTTCAGGAAGAGCAATCGTTATTGCATCTGTTCTTGAAAATAGTCATCTCCAAAGATAACTAAAACGAAGAATTTGATTTATTTATTATTACCTTACCTTATCAGATTCTAGAGTTGGGTAATCTTGTTTTCGCGTCACAAAAGGGACTAGTTCCAGAGTTCCTTTTAGTTCAACCCTTCACTGGTACATTGATCAGTTAATTCAGATGAATGAAAGTGCCGGACCTAGTATCAATCGTTCCTTTTGGAGAATAGTTCTTTTGATCTAATTACGGATGTTTTCAGGAATTTCTCTTGAGAATAGTCATCTTTAAACTTCTCCAGACTTCGATTACATTCGAAGACATTCATTTATTTTAGAGTTTTCGAATTAACTGCTATGGTTCCTTTCTACTCTAGTAGTTCTCTCCTCTCACTCTTGCTCAAAAACTGTTAGTCATAAGTTCCCCAATATGCCTCTCAATAAAAATATATATTATTTATTTATCTATTTATTAATTGTAAAACTAATTTAAGCCTAAATACACCAAATAAATTGGTTTCAAAATAATCACAACTAAAAGGCCTACTTTGCAGAACAAACTAAAAAAAAATATTATATTTATAAATGTTATTTTTTATGAAGAAGAAAATATTGTATTATTTTTTTTTGAAACAAAAAGAAATTATTTTCAGACCAGTTGCCTTAACTATTTTGCATAGAATTAAAAATCCAACTATTAAAAAACCAAACTTAAATAGAAATCAGTGTACAAAGAACCAAAAAATTTAAAATCAAAATTTAATGAAAATCTTCATAAATGTTATTATTAAATTTAACAATTAAATTAAACAAAAATAATATTAATAAGTAATTTATCCCTAAAGAAAGTGGATAGAAATGGGTGTGCTGATCTTAACCCTCTTTCCATATTTCTGTAGATACGAAACCCCCAAACCTTATATCGGTTGTAGATTCTAGCATTTTTTGTATTAATCCGTACCAAAGTATAATAATTTTTGGCATTCCGAATATTCGAATATAGAAATTGCTCCACTACCATATTCTCTACCAGTAGGCTCTATTCTAAAAACGTTAAGAGCATTTCTTCACGACATTAAAACCGATAACTTGAAATCTTTCAATTAGGTAATCGGCAGAAATAGATGGCAGTCGAAATATTTTGATTGCTCAATAGCTTCCAAAATTATCAATTGCTGGACCCATTGTCAATGTCCTCATTTTCATCCTACATGAATAAAGTCTCATAAGGATTGGACTTTATACTAAACATATATCCCTGTTTAAACGACATGTACATTAGAACTTTTTTAAGGCTTAATCTACTTTAAGAGGATTTATTTGACAAATATGTAATGGAATTGACAATTAAAAACCTACTGGGTTAACTTAATCCGGTACAATGTAAACGTACGTATTAACTAAACTATTTTTGTCGGGTTAACCTCCTCTATGAAGATTTATTTGACATACATACAGGGTGAGATGAAACAACTGCAACCAACTTCAGACTGCTGTCATTTCTAAGCCACTCGTCCGACAGCTGTTAAAATTATTCCAGTGACAGCTAATTATATTGTTTACAAGCGTACAAAAGCATTTTGGTGAGAATTTTCCAGAAAAAAAGTTATTCGTGATGGAATACAAGCGTGATAGTGTGATTTCTGGAAAACCACAAGTGGCTATCGTTAGAGCACTCCAGCATTTAAATGTGTATAAATCGTTTGTGTCTAGTACCTATACGTAGTTAAGCGTAAAATCGACTTTTTGACTTTTCGATTTTTAGACTTCTCGATTTTTGCCTTTGACTAAAAAGTCTACTTTTCGATCTCTCGATTTTGTCAAACCTGATCAAAATCGATTTTCGTCTTTTACCGATTAATGCAAAATCATCTATAAATTGATTTTTGTATGCATTTTTGTAAACAGATAAAAAAAAGTTCTGGAATGTGTAATTTTTGGGCAATTTGAACTTCATGATAATAAAACAAGTAATTATGAAGAAAATCGAAAGTCGATCTTAAGTTTGCGATTTTCTCAAAGATCAAAAGTCGACTTTTAGACTTTTCCAAGATCTATTAATAAGGTCACCAAGATAGCAATCGAAGTCGGAAAACAGCTGCTTTTTCTCAAGTCTAATGTCAAAAATTTCGACTTTGTTTACGTTTTCATAATGGAAGTCAATTCACAATAATGCATTTAGACAGCAAACTTGAGAGGTATCGATAATCAGCTGGTCTCCCTTGGTGACCTTATTTATAGGCCATGGACTTTTCCAAACAAAAAGTCGAGTAGTCGAAAGTCGATTTACTAATCCCAACTCGTACCGTCGTTCGTTATAGTGATACTTGTAGCATAGCCCGACGTCAAGGAAGTGGACGGAAGAAAACAGCAACATCAGCCGCAATAGCTCGAAAAATAAAGAAGTGACTTGGTAGAAACCTGCGTCGCTGTGGCCGAAAAATTGATCGTGTTCTCAACCTATCGCAATATTTCAATTGGCAAATATTGAAAAATGAGTTCGGGGTAAAGCCATTGAAATTCCAAAAAGTGCAAGAAATTACATCGCAACAAAAAGAAAATAGACTCAAAAGAGCTAAAGAGTTGCTTCGCTTGGCCGAAGGTGGTGAACTCCGATGAGGGAACATTTTTTGTCCAGCAGTTTGTAAACAAACAAACCATCGGCTGTTATGGCGGCCAATGCCAATGGAGATCAATTCGAACAAATCTAAACTTATTCTAAAATTTGATGCTATTTCCGACATTTTTTGCTTTCATTCAGTTTGGTTGCAGTTTTTTTTTTATCTCACCCTGTATATGTAATGGAATTGACAATTTAGGTCTACTGGATTTAATGAATCCGGTACAATGTAAACGTACTATTAATCTACTTTATGAGGATTTAAACTCACTTAACGAAATACAGTACAATGTAAACGTACTATTAGATATTTTTTTTGGCTTTTATTTATCGCCCACGACATTCCTATCCACTTTGTAAAAGTCCCATAAATTACTTGCTACTTATAGGGTGTCATTAGATCGATTAATGGAAGCTTAATGCTTAATAGCATTGCTATCGTTTGGATAATTGATAGCACTTTGACAGTTAATCAAGACATCAGCTGCGCTAAATGGACTACCTATTCATTGTGCCATGATTGATAGATTAGCCAATTTTCTAATTATGGCAATGCTCTTAAGTGATGCCAACCAATAATACAACTCTGGTAGCCATATTGCATTACTATTAACCCTTTCAGTGTCAAAAAAAATTTGTCGGAATAAAAATCTAAAATGTTGTATTTAAGATCATATAAAGGCACAGAGTTAAGAAAAAATAACCATTTTCATTTTAATCCTCGGTCAGGTTCGTCTGTCTTTCAGCAAAAACATAGGATAACCGAAAAATAGCAAAGAAAGAGAGTACTTTTAAATGTCGAATATATACGACAAAAACACTGAAAGGGTTAAATATCTGCTCATAATTTGTTATACATTTTAATCATAATACAAAAAAACCATATTAAATACATATATACAAATTCATATTTATATATAAGAAATATTTTTCTAGTCATTTAGTAAAAAAATTAAATATATTTAAAACAAGATTTTTCTAAAATACAAAAAAAAAATAATAAATGTAATTTTCGAATCATAAACATTAAAGAAATTAAAAAATAAGAAATTGAAAGAAAAAATTCTTGAAAACTTGCTCACCGACAACATGGAGAAGGGGAAGGTCAATGGAGGACGATATTACTAAAAATTACTGGCATTATTAGAGAGTGGACTTGACTAAATTTTTAAGTATGGCAATGCTATTCAAGCATTGGCATCATTGGAGGCCCTGACCCGTCTCTCAAATGGCCTTTCAACTCTCCAAAACTACATACCAAAAAAGAAAAACAACAGAGACTTAGCACAAAAATGTATTTTTTATTTAAAAAAAAAAACTTTATCATTAAAAAAAAAACAACAACAAATTTAGCTCATCATCTACTGTAAACCAAAAAAGAAATGCTCAACGTATAATCAAAAATCAAATGGAAATTTGTTAACATTAATTATGTTATCTATGGAAAAAATTAAAAAAAAATTGAAACTCATTTATGTACCAAAATTTAGAAAATCGAATTAAATGATTCCGACACTAAAAGGCGTAATGATTTAGTTCGAATTGCCAACATAAAGTTCCATATATTTTTCCGACATTAATAATGGTAATACTCTTAATACTGGTAATGCTCTTGAATAAAGCGCCGCATTACGCCTTCATTGTGGTCCTTATCATCTTATTAAAAAATAACAAAAAATCCTCTAGGTACGCTTTGTCATAACAAAAAAAAATTGAAAATCAAATTGTCTCAATATTTTTTTGTATGTATTGAAAATTTTTTGAAATAATAGTATTAAGACAAAAAAGGAAAAAAAACGAAGTAAACAAATAAAAAAGTAAAAACTTGCGGCTGTTTTTTTTAATATTTTTTAAGTACAGCCTAAAGATCGACAATATTGGTCGCTATAAGCTATATTAAATAATGTGCAGAATTTTTTTCAGGACATTTGGACATAGTCATTAAAAAAAACATATATCTAACGTTATATACGATTTTGACTGCAATATCAGGTCCGACGTCGCATTTTCAACCCGCTCTTTTAACTTTCCTCTTCATAAAGGTTTGCCATTTCATCATACAAAGAAATTGTTATAATTTATAACGAAATTCCGAGTCAGTGGTCAGAGCGTTGCATCAAATTTATGTTCGTCACAATTATCCTAGCAGATCGTCTAGTGGAAAATTTTGAATCCGGAGGCACAGTACAAAATATGCCCTTCACCGAGAGACAAAATATGCGCTGGCGCTGAGGCTCTGGAAGGAGCATTTTGAAAAGCTTCTGGCATCAAATAGTGGCGTTGAAGAAGATACCCCAGAACCAATAAGAGATGACGGTATAGAATGTATACCAACTAGACAAGATGAGGTCATAAATGCAATTAATCGGCTCGAGAACCAGCCGAACTATTCAAGACTTGTGGTCAGATGCTGGTCAGGAGCAAGCACCAGCTGATTAGTACAATTTGGCTAGAGGAATGCATGCCCAATGATTGGAACTTCAGCACCCTGTGTCCCGTGCACAAAACAGGAGACAAGACGATATGTGTCAACTATAGAGGAATTAGCCTTCTTCCCATCGCATATAAAGTGCTATCCAGTGTGCTGTGTGAACGATTGCAGCCAATGGTCAATGTCATTATTGGACCATACCAATGCGGCTTCAGACCTGACAAATCCACCATTGACCAGATTTTCACTCTGCGCCAAATCCTGGAAAAGACCCACGAAAAAACACATCGACACATACCACCTATTCGTCGACTATAAAGCCGCAATCGACACCCCTATCCGTTCAGAGGTGTTTAAAGCTATGTCTACGTTCGGCATTCCTGCAAAATTAATACGGCTATACAGGTTAACTTTAAGTGGCACCAGGTCAGCAGTTAAAGTCGGAAAGGACCTATCGGAGCCCTTCAATACCGAACGAGGATAAGACAAGGTTATAGTTTGTCGTGTTTTTAACATCCTGCTGGAAAAGGTCATACGAGACGCAAAGGTTAACAGAAATGGCACTCTGTATACCAAACAACACATGTTACTCGCCTACGCCGATGACATCAATATATCAAATTGAGAAAGAGTCTGCCAAAGTGGGTCTGGCAGTAAACGGCGAGAAGACCAAGCTGATGGTATAGTCAAAGATTTTATATACCTTGGCACCGCCATAAACAAAACGAATGACATCAATTTTGAAATTCGGAGAAGAATTATGATGGACAACAGATGCTACTATGGTCTAAGTAAGCAGTTTAGAAACAAGGCCACCTCCCGTCAGACCAAACTCACACTTTACAAGACGCTGATACTACCCGTGCTGTTATATGGATCTGAAGCATGGGTAATTGTGCAACCAGATGAGGCAGCTCTTGGGGTGTTTGAAAGAAAATTTCTCCAAAAGATCTACGGGCCGATCTACGTCGACGGTGAATATCGACGTCGAATTAACCACGAGCTTTACAATTTATATTGTAAGGTGTCTAGGCGATGTTGTGCGAATGAATGAGAATGCCCCAGCTCAAAAGGCATATAAAAGCGAGCCTACTGATTGTTCCCGTAGAAGGGGAAGGCCACGAATCAGATGGAAAGACCAAGTAGAAAACAATCCCTTGGAATGTGGTCTTTCAAATTGAAGGAGATGCGCACAAGACCGACGCGCTTAGAAATCTTTTCTAAGCGCGGCTTATGGAACAACCGTTCGTAACAACCCAGCTAAGTTGTAATGAGACAAATAAATGTCCGTAGTATCAAGAACATTGCTGCCGCTTAGGCTTCCTATCATTTCAAGCCTCAATGTGTCTCTCAATGCTCCGGACACAATGGTCGCGTTGAATTTTCCATCACATTATATATTAGCAATAATAAAAAATGCGATCACACGCGACGATTCTAGCAGATGGCACAATTGAACGTCTAGTGGAATTTTTTGAATCCGCAGGTACAGTACAAAATGTTCCCTTGACCGAGAGACAATGAAGTACACTTAATGTCGAGTATATCGCTGTCGCGGAAAGTCTAAATTTTGTCTCTTACACGCCATTTTGAGCCTTGGACATCTGTGGGTAGCCGCATGATCATAAGCACCCTATGTTCCTCAATTATGCCCAGCAACTACTTGAAACTTTATCGGAATTTCAATGTAAAATCATCTTCAGCGATGGTGCGGCTTTTTTGTGGCTGAATTGATTTCTTCTCAGTTACTGAGGAGTCATTTTTTTCTATTGAAAAACATCTAGAAAAAAATTCTTCATTTTTTTCTATTAAAAAAAATTTCAGTAAATTTTATGGAAAAATTTCTCAGTAACTGAGGGATCCTGTTTTCTATAAAAAATTCACCAGAAACTGAGGAGTCATTTTTTTATAGTAAAAAATTTCTTAGTGACTGAGGAGTCCCTTTTTATTAAAAAAAAAAATCCTTAGTATTTGTACCGTAGAAAAATTTCCTCAGTAACTAAGGACTCCTTTCTATAGAAAATTATTCCTTATTGGCTAAATATTTTTTTCCTGTAAAAAAAGTCCACAGTAACTAATGACTCCTTTCTTACTGTAGAAAAAATCCTCAGTGAGGAGTTTTTTTTTTTCTTTAGAAAAAAGTTCTTCAATGACTGAGGATTTTTTTTTTCTGCTGGAGGAAAGAAATTCCCCTGTAGAAAAATAATTCCTCAGTGACTGAAAAAAAATCTCGGTAACTGAGGAGTCCTTTTTTATATACCAACAAATTCCTGAGTGTCTGAGAAGTTATTTTTTCTACAGAAAAAAATTCTTCAGTGACTGAGAATCATTTTTCCTATAGAAAGAAATTCTCATTGATAGAGGAGTCCTTTTTCCTTAGAAAAAAAATCGTCAGTGACTAAGGAGTCGATTTTTTTTCTTCTAAACCACAATACTTACCATAAAATTTAAACACATTTCTTTAATTTTTCAGCCCCGTGTGTGTTTTACGCCCTCCTAAAAGTATGCCACAAAAAATAATAACAACATTGTTTTCTTTCGGTTTATATTATTATTTATTATTCATTTATGTTGTGTTGTTTGTTGTTATTATTAATAT